GTGTTCTGCTTGTATCGAAGAGAGGCACGTAGTAGTCGCGTTTCGATGTCCAGTACTAGTTGGCTGTCCCTTGGTAGGCCATCTCAATTTGACCTTTCCAGGCTCTGAGGAAGGCGAAGCCGCCGAAACGTCAGCAATTGTGTTCTAATAAATTCTATATTAACAACCTCGTGTCTGCTTATTGATGAAAAACATTGAATTAATGAAGAGTGTTCGCTTATGTGCAAATTGTGTTCTGCAAGTGAACTCGCTCAAAATCCTGCCTTTCAATTGACTGGAAATGCATGGAAGACGATTAGAAGACTTCACGAACAGATGCGATAATGTAGTGGACTAAGAACATTTTACTCCTAGTCCACTTTTTCGACTCTATGATTCTTCTAGCTTTAACTTAAACGCTGGAATCATGGACGCTGTATGTTATAAATAATCACTCGTTATAAATTGTGCTATTGAATGGGTAGCTTTGGGAGTATCTACGTCAAGCACGTGACGGAGGGAACCCAGTGTTCCGACTCACGTCAAGGATCGGAAACGACATTGCCAAAATGTTAGAAATGAAGTGCACCGAACGAGCCATGCTTTTTTTCTAGCCATGGATGGACATGAGACGTTAACGACTGGATGGTAAGGGATTTCAAATGCACGGACGCTAAATCGATCGAATGATCAGAATTTTCCATGCAGATCCTGGAAGAAGGATATAATGCTCAGTGGGTCCTATAGCTAGCAGAATTCGCTGGGCGACTCTCCTACGCAATAGGTTCACATGCGTACTTCGTTAGCGACCTATCAAATCACTCGATGATTAGCGGCAACAGGATATATCGGTACAATATAAGACAAGAATAACACAAAACTCACTTCATATATACTTTGGTTTAAACGCGTATCCTATCCTATTGTTCCCTTTTTTTCCTTCAATCAATAGTTTGTCTAGCACAGATGCACTGTCAAGCGTGATTCATGAGAAGCAATTCTTTAAACTTAGTGACACAGATGACCACCAACACTACTGTCAGAATTCTTCACGAATATCGTAGAAGAAAACTATGGTGTTTAGGGAGTTCCTGAAGAGAACAGAACACATTGGGCTATTCTTGCACGGAACAGAAACAAATGGACGCTTTATTGACGCTGGTTCGAGTTAGTTGACGACCAAGAGGACAGGCGATGCAGGTGATGACAACACAAACATACTTTACGGTACAGTATTTCTTCTGTGAGTCTGGCATATTCTCCACTCCTCATGTGCTTAGGTTATGGAAACATTGCAGGAATTTATCGAAAAACTGACATTGTCCAATGTGATAAACTTATAAAGTCGAATCTTTGAGAAGTACCTGATTTTTACTTCGTTTTTACGATGAATCATGATTATCACATTGAAAGGGCCACTGTAAAAAAAAACTTTAAATCTAATTAGAAAAAAACAGCCATCACCACGACTAGATGGCGTACGAAGTTATGGATCTTCTTCGACTGGAAATGTTCCAAAACCCTAGATAGTATAAGTACGAAAAGAGTGCAGAGAATATGAGAGACATGGAAATCACTGTCAAAATACGTAGAAGAAGCAAGAATATCAATAGGAAGGGAGGGTCCATTTCATCGTCACATTGTGGCCGGTATGAGTTGGATTCATTTCACAGCGACTGCGGACAAAAGATACGTGTGGTCACAAATATGCTAGCAATAACCGCTCAAACAAATTTAACTGATAGGTGATTCTTATGAAGATCATTCAGATTTGCTCATCTCCAAAAGTGCTGAAACAGTAGCATCCTTGTCACCTGAAAAAATATTTAAAGTTTGTAGCAGATTACGAGCAGGTAAAAATTTACCTCTACTCTCTTCAAGCACACATTTGATCACTTCCTTGTCTACGCCTGGAAACATTGCTTCAAGTTCTTTAGTGTCCTCGGCCGTAATTTCCACTGAAACACAAAAACCTATACAAACATCAAATTACCGAAATTAGTGTTGGCAACCTGGCCTTAGGACAGCGTATTTTTGCAGCGACACCCTAGTAGAACATTGTGTGGAACCCGCAGTAAGTCCTGCCAAGTTTCTCATGTCACATACATGCTAATCCTAGACGGCAATTTTGTGCATATAATACCGCGCTTTTCAATAGTGTCCTTCCATAGTCTGTCTTCAGAGACAGTTTTCAGCTCGTATCAGCTTCAAATATTTATTATAAAAGAAAAAACATTCATTGTAAAAAATTCTTGCAGAATTCGTAACCATACAACGACCGTTAGTTATTACTTGCTACTTGATACTTGTACGGCCCGTCTTCCGTCTTCATTGGTTGTGCGGGCCACAGCGTGATCTCAATTTTTTCGGAGACTTGCTGGTTAAGCTATTATGGTTGCCTGGAATCCCGAGGTCAGTCTGGTCAAAGTCTGCACCAGTACAGGCAATCGCCACCTTTGAGGATCAGAGGGAAATTTGCCAAAATGAGACTAGTTTGACACCGGAACGATGGTGGATCCTGGTATTTGTTTGCTTTTAGCTAGGCTTCCTAATGGAAACGCCGAACTCCTCAGCTTGGGAGACTGCCAAGGGGATGAATCCACCACTGTACATTGCAGCCCGACGCACAGGAACATCTCCCAGCCACGATGAGGCGGTAAACCGTTGGGAGGGTTACTTACTTATTGCTTATAATAATAAAGTGGTAAAAGAGATAATCGAAACTCAACCATGTGTGAACCAGTCTTTTTTTAAATACTGGAGCAATTTTTTTTAAGCGAAGGAGCAATAATGTGACATTCCATGCATTCTGTGTGAACTCTGTGTAATCGATTACACTTCACCTACATGAAAGTGGAGGAAGAAATACAATGGTTGTTTGTAAAGCAACTAACAAAGTTTATTTTTTTCTGAAGCTAACGTATTTCGCTTTCAAAATAAAAATCGAAATGCAGCATTAATTTTCTAACAACTTAATAGCTCTGTCTTTTTTACTCAGGTAGTCCAGTAAGAACTTAATTGCAACAAAAACGGAAATGAACACAGAAATCCAAAGAGGTATGTGATATGCCATCAACACACACGTTAAGTGCTTTATAGAAAAAAAAGTCAAAATCTTAAAGAAGGCATTATTTCCATAAGTGGAGCAAGACGTTATTTTCGGGCAAGTTGTTCATGAAGTATGTTACTGGTACTTTATCCTAACGATGTAGTGTCGCCTATTTATTTCATCGAATTCATGTCAGTACTTCACTGATTTCCAAAATGAAAACACTGTTTTTCACGTTGGTGCTAACTGATGATACTTCACGTGTAGTGCCTATATTCTTTTTACCAAACTTTTATATTGTTCGTAAAGGACCTCTTTGTATTGAACAGGTATCACCTAGCTGTCTATTGACTCTATGGCTTCCTTTCCCTCATCTGATCCGATGGCCGATTTAAAACCGATAAAACTGAAAGAAAATAGTTCCCAAGATAACTCACTGCTTTCGACACACTTCATCACATTTCATCACATCACTGTAAAGGGATACGCATTTTTTCTAAACGTCACTTTGATGTTATTCTGCTTAAAGTTAAATCAAACTATGAACAGTGCCATATTCGGGGACTTTACCATGTACTGCTGGATGAAATTCGTTTCGCTGGTGCTAGAGATGAGACATGACAAGAAAAAGTAACCAAAAAACGATTCCTAAGCTCCAGAGACTTAACTTGGTAATTATGGAGCAGTCAAATTCTGTACCTTATAGGCAAGGATGCGTAGATCAAAATGGTTTCTAATTCAATTTGAAGAATTTTCTATAAACTGAAATTATACTCCAATACCGTTTGATTTCTGCCAGTCTCTTCTAAACTTTTGGCAACAGCACTGGGACCTGGTTGTAAAACAAGCGAACAAGTACGGACAAACGGAAGATAAGCCGTGGGAACTAGATAGATGCAGGAAGAATAAAACAGAGTTGTGTAAGTGCGCCATAAACGGAACGGTAGAAGAGATGACATGATTTCCACGTTGCGTATCGCGACTTCCCTCAAACTTCCAAAGATAGCAGCTTGTCGAGGGGTACCACCCAGTAAAAAATTTTGTGAATACAAACAATAAGATGGCGTCGTATTTTCGCTTTGCTAGTAATCTGTAGAAAATCGCGATGACCTGACGATCCAAGTGTGTTTGATTTACTTTCAATATGGTATTGTTCTCACGGCGTCGACACATTATGTGTTGGAAAAAACTACTAGAGTGTCAAAGAAGTGAAATCTTGTACTGATTTCTACAAGGAATTATCAAAATACCGTGAATCCAGATAATAAAGGATAAACCTCTCGGCGCTGATCAATCTCTGAGGGATCGTCTGGAAGTGATTGAATGCAGATCTGGCTTTCACAATGACTCGCAGTGGCCTACCGATGTATCGAGCCAGTGCTGCTATCCTCCGAGACAAGTCTGGTATCAATTTGCTGACCCCGGAAGGATAGAAAGCTTGGTGAGTCTGAGGCACAGGGATCGATCACATGTGTATTGCAGGGCACCTCTCACCACTGTGCTACACGTGTCCTTAGATCCAGATATGCTATAAAACGTTCTAAGAAAGTTAACACTAGACATGGTCAATCTACGAAAACAGTTCCTCCCCGATGGTTTCAATAACGGCCACAGAAAGTGTAAATTGCTCGTGGAAAGTGTGGAACGAGCGTAAAAAAATACCAACTTTGAGAGATAGCGCCATTTCGAGTTCATAAGAACTCTCATTATTTTTAGTAAGAGCCAGCAATGCTCGCATTTTTAGGAATTTAAAACAGGAGAATATGTGGGAAGATTCAAGCTGCAGGAAAATAGCAAACGGGAAAGCAAAAAAAAAATAACAGGAAAAGGAAAGTAAACAGAGCAAAAGACGAAATGGAAAAAGAAAGTAAACAGCGCAGGAACACAAGAATAGTTGAACATCTGCAAGTTTAGAATTCGATATTAAGTCATATCGAGAGAATTTTACACAACCACCACACTTGCTCTCAATGAGATATGTCTTTTAGAACTTCACTTTTATTTTCGTTCCTAAAACTATAGCACCTCCCCAGACTTTTTAAAATCTGTGTCATTTCTCCATTGTTCTTTATTATATAAATGGTTTATATACAAAACGCCAACCGGACACCGTTTTAAATTTAAGAAATTACAAAAAAAAAAATAAACAAAGGACCCGCATGGTGCGGTGGTGAACGCGTTACTCCCCGGAAAGGATAATAGCGCGTTCGTTCCCCACCATAGACACCTGCGGTCCAGAGTTTTGCAAATATCTCAGCAACGTTGTGGTTGTATTAAGAATTACGTTGGCGGTGTTCAACATACCAGGTAAAGCCAAAGAAGCTGCATCGGGCAGAAGGGCTGCGGGATCGATACTTGTTTCAACTGGAGCAAAAGAAATGATAAGGTGCAACATTCCCTCTTTTTCTTCGCCCTAGAAAAAGATATACATGACACTGTTTACACTCCTGATTACTTATTTGATCTACCTATTAAAATAACGCATTTCCAACGCTAAAATTTTCTTCCTTTGTATAAATCACGATATATAACAAAGGTCTTCTCCAGAATTACTCCCAGTAAAAATGCAAATATCAGTAGTAAGGCGGAAATCGAACACTCAACTAGGAAGAAGTCACCTACAACTAGCTATTGTCAACCTACCTTTTTTTTCCAAAACAGCAATACGTCAATTAAATGGTAAACCTGCTAAAGCACGAACGATTGACTCTTCGGAAAAAGGTCATTCCAGGATTTAAGCAAGAGAGAACTTTGATTTATTATTGGAAAATACTGCGACATTTGCTTTAACAATTTCGGAACTGTGACAAAAAGTACGGATTCTGGTTAGAATACCTGGTCATATCTTAACATAGCAAACATGAAAAAAACTTAGTACAGTATCCAAACGTGATACTTATCAACAATTGTAAGACTGAATTTCTGACGATAGTTGTAGCAGAGTCCTCCCAATGGTTCAACGCCTCATCGTGGCTGAGAGGCGTTGCTAGAAGTCGGGTTGCGATATAGAACGGAGGGATTCATCCCCCAGCAGAGTCTCCCAAGCTAAGAAGGAGTCCTGCGCTTCCATTAGGAAGCCCTGCTAAGAGTGAACCAATACCAGCATCCACCATCGCCCTGGTATCAAACTAATCGCATGGTAGCAAATCTCCCTTCAGATCCACAAGGGCGGCGACTGCTCGTGGTGACGACCTGCGGCAGACTTTGGGTAGTCTGACCTTGGAACTGCAGGGAACCACAATAGCTAAACCAGCAAAACTCAGAAAAAATGGGAATTATGCTGGGCCCGCGCAACCAGTGAAGACGGGTCATTGAAGTAAGTATCCAAATGTTATACTTATCAGCATTTGTAAAGCTGAATTCTCGACGATACTTGTAGCAGAGTAGAGGCACTGACTAAACAAAAATGTTTTTAAAAAACACAATTATAGGCAACATGACTGCGATCATCATAGTCCATCAATAGAATGTTTGTTCTACTAACATTGTGCTCAACAAGATTACCAACCACGACGCTTGCATTTGCTGCCGCTAATCTCCAAAAGAAGAAAACCTTTTACGATTCAGACATCCCGCTTAAGGACTTCCGAGAGAACTGCAGGAGTATTAAAGATAATTTATGTAGAAGAATGATATGGTATAAAATTCTGAAAGACTGCCCAGCGAATAACGGCACGACTAACTGTGAGACAACTCCGGAACGCAAATAAAAACACGTATACTCAACGGTAAGTAATGGACTACGGATTAAATCATTGAGAAATCTCAGATTTCCATAATACATCAACGTATGCACCCACTATAAAACAAAGAAAGAATAGAGTAGTTATGGATCGGAAATAACGATAAGTGCACGATGGTAAACGAGGACTTGTCGTGAAGCCACAAAGGACCACGAGCATGAACGGCCCATGTGCGTCTGCCATGTCGACAAGCTCAGTAGTCCCTTTCTTCCCATTTCATAACAACGGCGATAACCCTATCCATTCTCCATAAAGCTATGAGAAAGGTGGAAATAAACGGCGAATATGTCATGATCAACAGGTCACTTCAATGGGTGCTCATAGTGCCGCAATTAATGTGTTCACACATTTGGAATTCCAATTTCATTCATTACGTAAGCTTTAAAAAGTTCCAAAGAAACCTGTTGTCCACTAAGAGGGTAATAATCGTCGATTGTCTCCCCATTGAAGATCGCTTGTGGAAGCATTACGTGAGCCCACGCAACGCACTCATCAGCACTAAAGGCTTTCTAAAACGAAGACTAGTGGAAGGAAAAAAGCAAATAGAAGACAAAAAACATATTTCTTAGAGTGCTACTGGATATAAACATAAAATAAATTCGAAAGACCGACTTTCTATAAACATCGGCATAGATAGTTGATATATTTATTTATGTGATCTTATAAACTGGTCTTCTTAAGCTGACGCGAGGTTGGTACAGGTCTTCGTTGTCGTTGGCGTTGTTTTGCGGGACCGCACGTGACATCACGGCTCTGAGGAAGGCGAAGTCGCCGAAACGTCAGCCATCGATTAATACCATTAAAAAAAACGACAACGACAACGAAGAACTGTACCAACCTCGTGTCAGCTTAAGAAGACCAGTTTATAAGATCAGATAAATAAATAAAATAAATTATTTAGTTCAGCAACACAGTCAAATAAAGCGAGGAAATTAACGAATTCGTATAAATGATTGGGAGTGCAGTGAACCTTTTCGAAATCATGCCAATTTTCTCTTCAAATCGCATTCCATGCTGAATGGTAGATGTTTTTTTTATTTTCATATAATCCATCTTCACGTCTACTGTGCGGATTCCAGCACTTCTCACATTCGACTCGTGTTCTCGCATCCACCATCCACTATGGCTTTCCAGCTTCTTACGTGTGGCTTCGCCCGCTGCTTGAAGATCTTCATTTCATTTTGAATGTCGTAGAATTCTGGTCGAGTCGATTCTCCTTGGAGTCTTGAGATAGCCTGGCAGTAGCGCCCCCAGATGGACTGCATACAGCGAGTTTTTTACCGGACAAGTCCCGTACCAAATTCCTTACTCCAGAGGGATAAGAGGATTGGTGAGCCCGGAGTTGGATCAAACAAGCACCGCGCTCGTGATGACCGGCATCACTGTGCTACTCGCCCCTGATAATGGTCGATGATACAGTTATTAAATTTGCAATAGCATTCGATTTAGCTTATAATGACGCAGCGACAACGTTCTCAAAGAGTTTTTAAACGTCCTAAAAGTACTAAGTAGTTTACGTACGACGAAAATCCACGAACTATTCGCTTAAAATGTTACGAAAACTCGAACAAAGTCCTCGTTATCGTCATCAGAAGATAGTAATCGTCAATTTTTATGATTGCTACGCAAACAATTTCCAAACTACGCGTTCGAAGTGAAAAAGGGAGAAAAAGACTGGTAAAAGATTTTGCCGTCTTAGCAACTTCGAACGTTGCCTGTTGTTTACGGAATGATAGGTGAACCACCTCGTCAAAAATCTGTACGTAGATGCTTTCGACTCCATTTGGCAAATATGCGTGAACGGTTCGGTTCCATACTGGGCTTTTTCCACCGCTCAGCTTCGTCTGTGTTTCAAATACAGCATGCCCAACACGCAGTCTGAATGATAAAGAATTACATAATGCTCTCCTCCAGGAATTTGTGAATGAGAATCCACGACCAAATTGTCCATAGCAAAACATAGAAGCGCTGAAGTTCAAAGTAGCAAAGTGGAAGAAAAACAATCGAAAAGACTAGGCACTTATAACGTCTCAAAAGTCGACCTGCAGTACGGATCCATCCTCACGATTCCATAGTTCCTAACTAAATTGGCATCGGCGATTGTGATCGACACGCGTCCACGTGTATTGGGAGGAACGAAACTACCTCCATAAACCACCTGAACACATTCACAATAATGACGTTAACTATTGCCGGGGCTATAGCTCATTATTCTGCACGGACTAACTATAAGGCGACCAACAAAGTGGAACCATAAAGCGATTCTCGCTTTTAAACCCTGAAAACACCTGTGTCTAATAAAGCATTTGTTGACGCATACACAACGAGCTTCTAACCTTCCCTCTCTGCAGAACTCACCTGTGGAATGTTTTGTTGTGTTGGGGATAGTTGTTGTCGAGGTACAATCAGTCGCAAGAAATCCGGTGGAAGATCACCAACCAGGACCTGTAAGAAAATCTTTCGAATTACAACTCTAGATAGAACATCAAGGTAATTAACTTATTTAAACTCTCTGTTCCTCGAATATAGAGCTTTAAATGATTCACGAAACATCATGCCTAACACTCAAAGTTACTGGTTAAGCTACCAAAAAAGTCTCACAAAACCTCATTCATTGGGCGGCTCAGAACCCTATGTCTACAAAATACCAGCAAAAAGTGATAAAACGGTGAAACTAAGGCCGATCTCTGCAGATGTATTGTAAAATCGAACCTGCCTTCTCTTCTCTGCAACCGAAGACGTCGATGACATCACCTAGAAATGCGGTGGCTTAACAAAAGCAAAAGCAAAAGGAAAAGACTCCAAAGTTGTTACAACAACGAATCATTTGCGTTAAGGCAAAAAATAGCCAGAGTGTCGTTGCTTTCACTGAAACACACACAGAACTGTAATATCTAACTGCACACAACGCAGCTTAATCATGCTCAAACTCATTCCAAAAAAATTGTTTCAATGAACAACGTAGTCCATGATGGCGGACATGGTGAAATCAACGTTCGTGGAGTGAATGGATTTTTCTTTCTAGAAGTGGGGCAGCAACGAACGAATATTATTCGCGTTTTGATTCAATAGAACAGTCAGTCGTAGGAAGACGGGGCAGATGGACCGTGTGAATTGATATGAACGCATCACAGGCGTCACATCTTAAAGTTAATCTGTACGATCAAATATTGTACAAATGCTGACTTTTCGGACGAGTTTGTTCTGTTCCTGACAAGCAGAGTACAAAGATAGGGATAAAGATTACAGATGAGAAGGACGCCACAATAACCCTCCGTTTTAAATGAGTCCCACAGTGCCTTTTGTACCAAAACTTGCAAGAAGATTACTCCTGATGAGGAAGATGTACATGACTCGTAAATGAGAGAAAACGTGGCAGGAATGAGTTAGTGTTAAGGTTTTGTCCAAGATGGAGAAGTAGTTGGTGCCAAGCCAGCTTTTTTTTACCAAAAGGAAAAATGAAAGTAGGAATTTGCAAATGAAGAAAAAAGGATGTGAAAGCATTTTTCAACAGACAGACTCCAGCTACTGACGAACTATAGGAACCATTTGTGGTCGAAAGCGTTATCATCGAGAAAACAGGATCGAGCTCGTCCCTCCACTGGTCTCCCACATTTGTAGCCAGCATGAGAAGCCGATCAAGACTGAGATTTTGTCTTCAAAAGTTATCAGTTTACAATAAAGCATGATCCGCACATCCAACACGGATATTTCGGTTATACGCGATTTTGTTCTCTGCTGACCTGATGGCCGGTCTTGCTGCGACGGAAAGGCGTGTGCTAGGGCAACCAGCTTTTGATGCTTGTCATCGGGTCCTTCCTGAACTTCTTTGACTGCGTACGTAAGCACAACGATGAAAAATTAGGTTCACGGCGGCGATATGTTGCCAAATCGGATCACCGGCTTGACAATTCTATTGCATCCAAAGACGTACTGGGGCTCCGCAATAGCGTGGTAAAGGTAGCCGAATGCTTCCAGTAGTTCACATCATCGCCAAGATTCTTAAATCGGTGTCCCAGTTTGTCGTCGGCGATGGTGGACCACCGCTCCTAAATCCTGCGAATAACGGGGACTGTAGCACTGACAACCAAATCCTGTGAATTCCGAGGATCGTACCGCTGACAGTGAAGTCTAACAACCAATGAGACACGGTGAAATTGCAGATTTAAGCCTGTGCCATGACTGTTTCAGTGAAAATATAAGCTATTTTCCGAATAACGTGTACCTGGTACCCAGTGCTCAACTCCTTGAATAGAGCTGTGTCAATCCAGAACGTTGTGGTCACGAAGGGTGCAGTTTTTTAGCGTCTTCAATCACTTCGGCATTATCACGTTGTCATAAATTCTCCTTCATTTCACTACAATCCACCGTTTTGGTCTCTACGCCAGCAAAATCTCATTTGTTATAGTTAAACCAGGCAGCCCGATGCAAGTTCTTCAAGTGTTAGCAGTTGAAAACACTACAAACTTATACAACAGGCTGATGCCCTATGGCTATAGTGCTATACATAGCCTCTATGAAACGACACTCTGTCCTTAAATCCTTAAGTTCTTTAAAATTTTCTTCACAAATTGAGAAGTAAATCGAAATAAGAAATTTTAAGGCAAGTCTAATACCAATAATACACTTAGACATACTCTCATGCTAGATGAGAATCCGTCTGTCCAACCTCTTCGTTGTTGCGAAGATGACCTTCGACGGGAAAAAAAGTGGGCAAAAGAAGTATATTGCATGCTCAAAAAAGAAATCAGACCTGACCTTTGTAGAATAAGCGGGCTTGCACCTTCTAAGCAAAAACATGTAGATGCTGATGGTTGTCTCAATTCAACAGATTACAGTTACATTTTTGTGAATATTTTATTGGCTGCTTGCTATAATTTTTCATGGCAGGGTGTGATGTGAAATACAACCTCAACGATGCTGAGATACTCGCAAAAGTTGGACCCCGGGCCAAACGAACCAAGATTACCTTTTCCGGAGGCTCGTATATTACATGATGCACCACTGCGGCCCTTGCTTTGCGTTTCTCTCAGCTACTTTTCTACCTAACGCTGGTATCAGTGACCGCGTTCATCACGTGCACGATGCTGGTTCGACGCCGCACCGGAAAATTGGTACAAGACTTGTCTGGAATCGGTTTACTCCTTGCAATCGAGGTGGAACGCTCTGACCATTCTATCCTGGGATTCCAGGGAGAACAATCTGGATAAGTATTCTACGAAATTCAAGATAAAATGAAAATCCTCAAGCTGCAGCCAAGACCACACGTTAAAGCTGGAAGACCTTCGTGGACGATGGATGCGAGGAAAGGACTGGAATGTGAGGAGCCCTGGAAACCGTACAGTAGACGTGAAGGTGGGTTGTGTAAAATAAGAAGAAAGACAACAACAACAACAACAACAACAACAACAACAACAACAACAACAACAACAACAACAACAACAACAACGGCAACAAGGAGACAAATTATACCAACCTCACATCGGCTCAACAAGGGCAGTTCATAAAAACATATAAATCAACATACCGATTATTTACGCCGAAGTTTATTAAAAGTCGGTTTTTTGAGTTGAAAAAAAAAAGAGTTCTACAGCACTGACAACCACTTTTTTCTCCAGTTCACGTGTTAGTTACGATTTTACGTCTACCCTACATTAACACTCCCTAATTCAAGATAAAAATGGGCGTTCTATAGCCTTATCACTTTATTTTTCATATGCTACACGTAGCTCTTCTTAGTGTTTAGGTCAGTGAACCCCTGCGAAAGAACTACGAATGTTAAGAGGGAAAGAGCTTAAAAACACATGCGTCGGCCATCAACAACCAAGAAGAACAACACCAATGACATGAGAAGGGTTACCAGGGAACTTGACAGAAGGACCCTCATGTCGGGAACACTGACGATGCCAACCAACACATTTCGCCGATACGCTCTGCGTCTCTTGCTGGCCGCAACGCTGTCGTCTGCACTCCCATCCCGCTTCCTTGCAGCGGACGTTGGCTTCACTAGGACGTACTCCTATGAAATCGGACTGGTGGGGATTTGGATTAGTTCCGTTGTAAAGCCTAGAGTGAGTCAGTTCCATTGCTTTCATTCAGTCGTCGCAACCCATACTTCATCTGTTATGGCTTACACGATTTTCTTTTGAAAATACCCTTGTGTTCTGCTTGTTTGTGATATGAAAGTTATGTTGTAATGGAGTACTGGCGAAGGCTAGCAGAGTTGGCTTTATGTTTGTTTCGTAGCTGTCAGAAAGTAGATAAGAATCTTGTTCCGGATTGTGCACTATTTCAGTGAATACAAAGGTAGCCTTGATTATTGGTAGTGATAATTCTAAGAGCTGATTCCAATTCTCTCTTCATTTAGTGGTAGGTGGCATTTTTCCTTGGCAGGGGAATCATCTACCGGGTGGCTGTCTTTTACTTGTCATCGTTTTCTAGACTTAATTCGTTTCTGGATACGTATTCATCATATGAAATCCTTATTCATTGGGGCTCTTAACGACATCTGTACTCACTGTTGGAAGCATATTTTATTCGTGTTATGTGTTTTTTTCATTTTTTATTTTATTTAACCCGTCTTCACGTCTACCGTGCGGATCCCAGCACTTCTCACATTCGACTCATTTCCTCGCATCCACTGTCCCACGAATATCTTCCAAGTTTTTACGTGTGGCTTCAGCTGCTGTTTGAGGATCCCCATTTCGTCTTGAATGTCGTAGAACGCCAATCTTAACGTATTAGTTACTGCCTACTCTTTTTAATGGCAAGGTATATATTGCGAAATATAACTTTAATGGTGCTGAGATATTTGCAAAACTCCGGACCGCAGGTGTATACGGTGGGGAACGAACGCTCTGTTACCCCTTCCGGGGGCTAATGCATTCATCACCGCACCACGCGGGTCCTTTGTTTCGCCCGTGTCTCAGCGATTCCTATCGATCTTTAGCCATCAGCAATCACCCGTCAGCGGGATTGATCTAGGGGCCCAAATCGGCAACGAACCCAGTTAAGCCGAAGCTGTAGTTATAATCACAATCTTATTATTTATTAATAGTAACAATAATAGAATAGTAAATAACAAGTTAAGATTGTGATTATAACTGCATCCTCAGCTTAACTGGGTTCGTTGCCGATTTGGGCCTCCCAGATCAATCTCGCTGACGGGTGATTGCTGATGGCAAAAGATCGATAGAACTAGCTGAGAGTCAGGCGAAACGAAGGACCCGCATGGTGTGGTGTTGAACGCATTACCCCCAGGAAGGGACAATAACGCGTTCGTTCCTCACCGCAGACACCTGCGGTCCGGAGTTATGCAAATATTTCAGCACCATTAAAGTTGTAGAATACCGTTCCAGCAATTCTCCGTGGAGTCTTGAGATTGCCGGGCTGCAGCGTTCCCAAATGAATTGCAGAGAGTGGTTTCTTCCCAGACAAGTTCGGTACCAATTTCGCGACCCTGAAGGGTTGAGAGATTTGGCTGGCCCGGAGCGGAGTCGAACTAGCACCATGCTCGTGATGACGTACTTCACTACCACTATGGCATCCGCCTACTATCTTACTACTTTATTATTATGTACTTATTATTATATCGTGACTTATTCATTTCAAGTATATTCTTTGTGTCATACCAAACATTTTCTTCTGTCCTTACAACTTTTGAGCATTTCCATGTGTTTTCGTACTTACTCATCTAAGATTAATTATAGTTAGTTAGTGTTGAAACTGACTTGGTTGTCCTTCAAGGTTGAAAATGTTTTCAATTCATCGTCCACCATGCTAGTGTTATCAACCGGGTGCTCCCCTAGGTGCTATGAACTTGTTTTTTTCGTTTTTCCTTTGACTTCTTAAGGCTAAATGAGCTATTAGTTACTTGGGGTTCCCTATGGGCTTTTTATAAACCCTTCTATGCTTTTTTCCTATTTGGTTGGACTTTGGTTCACGGTCGTATGATGTCATTGTTCATACGTAAATTTATTTCTGCTCGCTCAGTACCATTATTTATCTAATCGTATGTGGTGTCATACACATCGAGATGTATTCCTTCCAGATGTACGATGAGAGTGATGAATCCAGCGATGATAGTCGACCCAGTGGACACTCGTCAACTCGCAAGCGTCTTCCCTTCGATCCCAAACCTCACCTAGTCACTATTGTCAAAACTAACACAGGTGGTAATCATGGTCAAAATTCTCCACAGTCTTAAACGCTGCACTTTTTTGTTAATGGTCACATCATACTTTTACTACCTAACGTAGTCACACTTCTTTTTTATTCACTTTCACTTGTGTCACCTTAAATCCCGTTATTCATCAACTTGGAGGCAAGACCTGTAAGGTTTGTATTCGATCTGCTATGCGTAGAGCTGCTTAATGGGTATAATTCGAAGAAGGCGAGTACTGATTTTAAGTACGAGACCTCTTTGTTTTTCCGAGAGTCCGGCTACGGTCAATTCGTCAAGCTGTGTGTGATTAGTTGTGGGGATTATTTCTAGAAGTTGGTCCGATTCGTCCCCCCCTACTTCCCAGGTGCTAGAATGTGGACGTTTGGCCGAGTAGTTGTTCAAAATATAGTCCTTATTAGCACATGTTTGTGCAGGCCCGTTGTTTCATTTTCGGTGCACCAAAGGTATAGGTCGATCCGGAGTGGCAGAGGCAAAGAACCTATCTTCTGAATTTGCCCTAAGAGTATAATTAATGGTTTATTTCGCTGTTAATTCCCATTTAGACACCAATCGTACACCTGAGAATATACTGCATAGCTTATTACTACTAGACTTGTTGGCCCGAGAACCCTCAGGTGAACGAAATCCGTAAATATTCCCATCCCCATATTATTATTGCCATTTTAAATCCAGCGCTTGAATGGCGTTATGACACTTTTTTAAATTCTAGATTAATGAATGTCATGACTACCATCACGTGATAAGAAAAAGATGCAGTTTTTCTTTCAGGGTTTGGTTTCAACGTGAAAGGGCAGGTCAGCGAAGGAGGCCAATTGCGAAGTTTGAATGGTCAATTGTATGCACCACTACAACATGTTAGCGCAGTACTTCCAGGCGGGGCTGCGGAACGGGCCAATCTAAAAAGGGGGGATAGGATTCTTCAAGTGTATGTTCTAGTTGTATCGCTATTTTTACGAAACAGTCAATGAGAAATATCTAGGAATGGAGTCAACGTAGAGGGAGCAACACATAGGCATGTCGTGGACTTAATAAAACATGGTGGTGATCAGCTTACAATGATTGTTATTTCTGTGGAAGATTCCGAAGTAGATAGGTTGGAATTTTCTTGCATCAGTTACTTAAAACAGTGTTTGAATGGTGGTATTGAAAAAATGCTAACATTATGAGACACAGTCATATATCGTCTTTTGTCAAGGCCGAGGTGTAAGAGGAAATCTTACGGATGGAAAGGAATTTAGTTGTTCAATTAAATACTGGGTAATAGTTTGTTTCTATTCGTCCAGTTTGATTATAATAACTGGGCTGATATGTTATATATCAGCGATTTTTTGAGTTTTACTCCTTCGTTGCTTACTGACAGGCTAAAAATGGCTTATTACCTTGATTGCGTGCATATTAGTGGGTTTCTCGTAATATTTTGGAGATATCTTAAAATTTTGGAAACACGTTATAGCCCTTTCCCGTAGTGCTAATTTAACATAAAATCGGAAAAAGAATAACAATAACCCACTCCTCGCATCTGTTGTTTAAAGTTTAACTCCCTACAATAAATTATGCTCTTATGTTCACTTTTAAGCTGTTACTTGTCGTTAAGATTTGAATATGGTGAAGAAAGCGTGATTTCTTACCAACACGATTATTCCGAAAGCAGGTCGTTACCGGTAACCATTCCCACCTATCGTACAGTAAATGATGGTGTTGAAAAGTTTGTGGTGAGACAGAACTTATTTATAGCATGCCACTTACATCTTCCATTTTTCATTATGTTTTAAGGTTTTCAACTTGTTTATGGCTGGTCGACACCTTGGATCACGACGCTACAGTGAATTTGTTGAATTATACCAGCTTTTACGTCGTGAATTTTCTGATTTTTGTTTCCCAAAATTACCTGGGAAGTGGCCGTTTTCGTTGTCGGAACAGCAACTTGATGCGAGGAGACGGTAACTGCTATTATATGGAATTTACTTAAAGTATCTGTCACACTCTGCCTAGTTTTCTTAGAGCTTCATTTTTTTCAGTGGTCTCGAGGTATATTTGGAGCGCGTTTGTTCTGTGAAAGTAATAGCGGATTCTGATATCATGCAGGTCCCGTTTTTCACTCTTTCGCCTTGTTTATCGGCATGTTTTGACTTCTCCAATTTTCTTTGTGTAGGATTTTCTTATGGAGTGTGATCCGTCATGTGAAGTAGAAGTACGGGTTCTGTTACCTGATGGAGGAAGTGTCTGTGTATCTATTCGACGAAACTCATCAACTTCATTCTTGTTTGCCCTTGTTGCTCGAAAATTGAACATGTCTCGCGATATGGCTCTCTCTTGTGCAATATTTGAAACAATGGAACAATCCTTTGGTATGTCCCCTTTTTACTTCCAAATAAGTTGCTGAGGGAATGCAGTTGTGCAGGGGTTAGTGATGTAGTTCATTACTAAACAAGGTTCTGGTTGAACCTCTTCCTCAACGCCTCCCATGTTTAAAAGCCTTTGCTCGGTTGTCCTCAAGATTGCAAAAAGAATCTACTCGACCAGCGTTCTATGGAACTCGTAGAGAACATGAAATCCTCGAGCAGCGTCCGAATCAATACGCGAGTTGCGGGTTGGGCGAATTTTGGTGGTATAGATAGATTTCATTGTAAAAATTGTAAACTGTGAAGTAAATGTTTTAGAATGGAACATTTACGTGACCGAAAGACAATCGCTATTACAATGTTAGGAGAAATTGAATAGTAGCGGATACGACTAGGGCTTGCAAACATGCACTTTCTGAAAACATTTGGTAATTGTGAATTTTCTGCACTCTGAGTACTTTCACATACTATGAATACGTCCACAGAAGTTTTTTTAACTACTTATAATCTTATCGTTACAACAAAGTGTCCTAGTTTTCGAACTTCGTTGTTCAAGTACATTACAGAAGCCAGTACCAACGGCTACACACACTTTAGGTGAACAGACTCCTGCAAAAAAAAGGTTTTTGCAGATTATTAGTGTTGTGGCCTACACTCGTCAGAATTGTTATATTGGTTAGGCTTTGTGTGTGTTCTATTGATTACAAAAAATGCGGAACATGCTGTGTGACGAAATGGATGCATGAGAAGAAAACTTCATACTTATGACTTATGCTGAGCTTATATCGCCGATGCGTTATTTCGGCAGAAAATGTCAGATTTGCGACGGGAACATTTCAGTCGTTCCTTTCACCAGTGATCAGTTTTTTTTGGTTTCTTTTTGCTTATTAAATGACGTGGCAAACTTCGTTTTTACTGTTGTATTACTTAGCGCGACATCTTTGAGCTCCGATATTTTCGTACCTACTTTTTATTGCATTTATCGAAGCAGTAGTTTTTGTATAAGTGGATAAGTGGACGGATGTAATAAAGCAGTAGCTATCCGAAAAATTAATGTGGATTTATTTTGGACGGTTTCGTTAATGAAAGAACCATTCATCGTCTTCCATCATTCATTTGACATCTTTGGACCTGCAGATGAAAATTTCCCTAGTGGTAGGACTTAATTCCTTCGGAAAAGCAGTGAAACTGAATAGATGAGTTTTGTGGATACCAGCTTTAGTCATGCTAGTAGAAATGACAATACATTTGAAACTAGAAATTGCTTAACCGATTTAGAGCAATAAAAAGCAAATCCTGAGCTCTAAGCAGGTGTTGCTATCATTCTAAGAAAGATATCAGAACTAATTCCTGTTTGACCTAACTTTAGTACTGAACTTTTTCTCTGACTTCCTTTTTTTTAGAAAGGAAATTGCTTGATGGTGAATTCCCGCATCAGCTTTACATCCAAAACTATTTGTGTGCGTCATCTTCCTGTCTGGTGTTGAGGAAATGGATTTTTGACCCAGATCGAGAGCGACAATTATGTCAAAGAGATCCAGTATTCCGTCAATTCATTTTTCATCAAGCTGTTGCTGATGTTAACGAGGTTATCAGGATATCTTGCGACACTAGTTTTCATGTGTTTGTCTTCGAAAGTATCTTTTTGGCAAGATGTTTGGTTTATATTTCAGGGAAGATTGAAATCGTGTCAAAAGATGTACCAGTTGAAAGCAATACAAAATGAAGGAAATGCTGATGAGGTACAGTCTTGTGTGTCAGTAGCATACTATTTTGAAACCTGTTTCGGCTTCTAGAGAAGAAGTTTAGCTTGTTGTCATGGTTTAGTTTCTGGAAATGACTCGTGGAATGTCCGGGTACAATGAAGTTGTATTCCCTCCTTGTTGTTGTCCAACAAGGAAAGCTGGTGATGTTATAATGATAGTGCGTTTTTCATCACTCCTACTAACTTCCAGCCCTCCGAGTTCTGAGGTAGGTGCCTTTTTCATTTCCTTCTGATCTTGTTAAGATCTTGATGTTATATGTGAAGGAGCATGTATACATTCTCGAAATTCCGGCTATTCTTAGCTTAATACTGTTTGTTATTTTAGGTGCAAGTAGTTTTCAACTGGGATGATATTCTAGAATATAATGTTGTAGACGCTGGAAGGGCATTTCAGTTTATTTTCAAAAGAGAAGACAAGCAGGCAAAGCCTATCAAACTTCTCAGTAATTATGTAAGTTCATTTACCATATTTTTAGGCTTAGGTTTTTTAAAAGTTTTTGTGGATTTGTTTACTATTCTGTTCGATATTGTATTAAAATTCAAAACCAGTTCGTCCGTGTTGTTATTGTGTGTAAGTTCTAAGTAGAAGCGTTTGGTACGGAATATATGAGAAGAGTTGCTCTTGATATGGTGAGATGAATCTCTTGTTGTAGACCTTTGTTCGAAACCGGAGAATGGTCACAATGAAGCGGTATTATTAAGCTAAGTAGATCGGTATGCAAAAGATTCTGTCTTAATTCCTCCAGTTTCTCACTGCTCTGGCTAGAAATTAAAAATATTGACTTGTACATCATCGAACATCATACCCCGTCATGAAAAAAGAACAGGCAATGAATAAAAAAATGACTGCATTCTGATTTATACTACAGCTTCGGCTTAACTGGATCCAATGCCGATTTGTGCCCCGAGATCAATCCCATTGATGGATGATTGCTAGCAGCAGCAATAGATTCAAACGACCGAGAAAAGGCAAATTGAAAGGCCTACATGGTGTCGTGGTTAGCCCCCGGAAAGTGTATAACGGCTACGATCCCCATCTCAGATACCTGCAGTCTATAGTTTTGCAAATATCTCAGCATTACTGTGATTCACGTCATACCCTGTCATGAAAAAACGATAAGCATTAAATAAAAAATGGCTGCATATTGACTTGATCAGAATTGAGAACGGCTTATTTCTTATGGCTCTGATATTTGACGGATATTTTCTCACTTTTTGATTTCATTCTCTAGATTTCCTTCTTGTAATCTGGAGTTGTTTATGTAGAAATGGTTACTAAACACTGATTGCACTAAGTACAAATTATAGGCGGACTACATGGCAGAATGCTTCGAACAGGTTCTGTTCGAACGTCAAGTGGCTAACAACTGGAAATCTCATGTCATAAAAGACTCGGAAGAATCATGTGCCGTCAATCATGTGAAGCTTCAAAATGATGTATAGAAGTTCTTTCAACGGTCATAATGAGTAACTAGTTATAGGAGGATTTTTATATAGCTCTAATCCGGTCGCATCTGGTCGGGATCTTTTCACCCGTTTTCCCTTAATATCAATTGTGCTTTATTGGCAGATGATCTTAAGCAAAATAATACTTGTATATATTACGCTCTGGGAGTTTAGAGTTCTCGATTACTTATCCAGCGACTTTTTTTTGTCCTTATTCGTTTACCCAAATGTATTTCCGTTTTCCTGAAATTAGTCGTTCTATCACTACGTTCACCTTGGAAATGTGCAACATGACATCATTTATGCCATAATTAGAGCCCTTAACTTTTTTAAAATACTAACCGAACTGGTTTTAACATGATATCTATAGTTTTTAACCACCTTAACCTATGTGGCTTCTTACACTTTACATATTCGTAGTTTTAGGTATATGAGATTTATAGACTATTGCTTGTAGAGATCTCTTTCTAAAATATGTCGCTTAATTTGTAGTGTATTTATAAGATAGTTTCAGTGTAACTCATTGTAGGCTTCTAGTGTATACGGTTTATTTTGTACATTCCTCCTCATTAATGCCAATATCAGTTGGTCGGTTTCCGACTTTATTTGTACTATTCGAGGACTTCCATGTGCTGCCCAAGGCATCACATGTGTTGTGTCGCTGCGTGTGTTTCAGTAAATCATTGGAAACCATATCTGATACAAGATTGATCGCGTACCATGTCGCTCATATTTTGCTGGATGGTCCATTTTTACTGTTATCGTTAAAACAGCGTACAGATAGCTTTGTTCCCATCATTCTGTTAGTTTTTTGCTACATCTTCATGTCTAAGAAGTAGAGTGCCTCCCCTGTGACGAGTAAAAGAAACATTACAATTGTTTGTGGATGTTCATTTATAATAGTGGCTACATTTCTGCCCTGGTTACGTACTGGGTTTTCTTAGGGTTCTTCGATAGTTTGTAACTTTGTTAGCCGAATCCCACCATTTCTTCGTTGAGTCTTGAACGATTTGTTTCAACACTACCTTCTTGGAAAAATAGGCACGACTTGTGAAGTGGACTCATCGAATATACTTCTATTTGATGAGTTGCAAAAAGGCGAAATTGTGAGCCGAAAGAAGTAATGATGAAAAAATCACTCCCATGAAAGTGACATGAACAATGGATGCCCTGCGATCTGAAGGTTCGTGTAATATTCTTCGGTTTGCTTTATTTCCACTCTCGATTCTTCGATTTTGATAGCTGTAGGATTGTCTACTAGAAGTGCATTTTTTATGAAACAGCGCCTTCTTGTGTGAGGGTGTTAGTATAGTGTTTTCTTAAAGAGGCCATGGACTCTCATGCTGTGAACTGCACCGGCTCGCACGAATTTCCTGGCAATTCTCAGGGCGGCGATGACGTTCTTGATGATGTATGGAACATCAGTTATTCAAAAGAGCATATTATGAAAATGAAAGGCATATATATCTACACAAATACACACATGCATATATGTATACATATATGTGTGCATATACATATATATATATATATATATATATATATGTACGACTTATATCCTATTGCATATTCCAGTGCAGGGATGTGGACCTCTATTTTCGACCGCGGTCGGAATCTCCAGATATGTTTCGTTCTACTGGACGACCTTCCACATTTGGTTCATCATACGATGGCCCAGAGAATGGGCAGCAGCATCATGATACTGCACCGACAAGTCCTTCCCATCGGCTAGTTCACTTTCTTGAGTTGCTTACTGAGTTTTTAGAAATGTTTGACTACAATGGGAAAACAAGTGGTAAAGACCAACTTTGTTTTAGATAATCTGCTCAACTCATAGATGTTTTCACCGTCTCACTAACTTTGTTCGTCTCTCTGGTATCTAAACAATAACCATGACACATTATAGTATATTGTAATATGTCGTGTAATATATTTGCATGTTGATGCTTTACAGATTCGAGCTCTCCTATGAAATTGAAGATTCTCGTGATGAAGTTCGTAGTGAAAGTGGTGGAGTGAGGTCACGAGGGCGTGCAGTCCGTGGAAGGGGCAGGGCTAGCGCAAAACCATGTAGTGGTAGTACTACACCACTTGCTAGCAGTCCTCTTGTGAGTAATGAGAAGAAGCGGTCAGGGTACGTAGATCCTGGAAATTTTGTTCAAGCAATACTTCCAGCTTTTTAGTTCATATGTCTTTTTATTACAAGCTACGATAGGTTTGGATAAAGTATACTTTGAATTCAAGTTAAAGATCTGGTTTTGACTTAAACATGAGCAGACGTGGTCGTGGTAGCAAACGTGGCAGAGCGTACGGGCTGCTTCGAACTGGAGAAACAGTTGAGCCTGAGGCGAGTGGTGTAGTTTCGACATCTGCAGCTGATGATGTGTACGAATTCAGGAGCAGTCCGGAAGGGGAATTTAGCCAAGTAGGTAGTCGAAACGTGTGTCAAAATATTTTGATGTTTTAATGAGGTCCTGTTGATTTTGAAGATTCAACCAGAGTTTGGAAATCATGACGAAAGGGAACGATCAGCACCACCAAGCACAAAACGACAACGTTTAGGAGAAACACGGCCAGATAGTCAAGGAGGGAGTGCTCACTCAGGTAGAATAAAAAGATGGATTCATGTCCCCATCTACTATTTAATAATCATTTTATCTATATTTTCTGTGTTCTTTTAACACCTTAACTAGATTATATGATGGGTTTTTGATTATGAAATCAGGTTTCTATACCGAAAATTTTCGTCTGGGATTATGGTTTTATAGTTCCTTTCAAAATTCGTTGATGTACCAAAGATGCTACATTACAACATTGTTCGGAAATTGATGTCCATTTATAACCCTTGCACATAAATCTAGACGTGTGATTAATTGTTCCAGTCATAATGAACACTGTTAAGATTTAGTCAGTGGAATTCTTTTTTGTCTTATTTTATTGGACCCATCTTCACGTCTCCTATGGGGATCCCAGCACTTGTCAGATTCAGTTCGTTTCCTCGCATCCATCACCCACGAAGATCTTCCAACTTTATATGTGGTTTCGGTTTCTGCTTGAGGATTTTTCGTTTCATCTTGAATGCTGTAGAATGTTAGTCGAGCAATTCTCCCTCGAGTCCTAAGATAGCCGGGCTAGAGCGCTCTCAATTGTATTCCACAAAGTGATTCCCGGACAAGTCCCGTACCAATTTCCCGACTCCGGAGGGATGAGAGGTTCGGTGAGCCTGGAGCTGGATCGAACTACCACCATGCTCGTGATGACGGGCATCAATACTAGCATGTTATCCGCCCCCTGGTCAGTAGGATGCAAGTTTATTTTTCCGTAGCCTCGGAATTTTGGATTTCTGCTCCCTTTGAATGTTCTAAACGCTTTTTTACAGCGTCTCGGTAATGAAAAATTTTTGGTTGCAAGTAGTTAACGAGATGAGGGTGTTCATAATCAGGCAGAGGAAAGAGAGCCACACTGCAAGAATGAATGACTGGACATTTCACTCCAATCACTGCAGTTACAAAGAAGACGTAGGGGTTTGAAACATTAGTCACAACAGAAATGTATAAAGTAGCCTCGTTTGAACTTAACAGTCTATGAAATTTCTGACCATTAATACCGAGAATGGAAGGATTTTAATGCCTACAGTTAACGTGAACTGTTGGTAGTCTAGAATTGTCTTCTTTCGTTTTTATTCGGGACTGGTATATTCACCGAGATGCTCAGAAATTAGCTTTATGCCAATATGGAAAAAATCTGCGCCTTGAGTTGGTATAGTGATACGAAAATCAGAAAAAAGATATTTAGGTAAGTTATCAAGGTTTAAAAATATTAGCAGTTTATAGACAACCGAAACGCTTAGGTTCCGGTGCCTAAATCCGTTTTGGTGCTGCGTCTCTCCAATGATCAATTTCCTTCGACAGTCACGAGTTGGTATAAACTCTTGCCGGTCGATTTGCCACCATAAAAATTTGCCACTACCTTTTCATTCTATTCGTGGTTCACAATTCGGTTTTTCTTCGTATTTTGTCTCTAGTTTCGGTTTTTTATTTTCTTTATTTCCTCTAAGTTTTGCATAATGAGTGACGCTTCTAAAAAAGCCGCTATAATACTGAGATATTTGCAAAACAAAGAACCCCAGTCCAGTTTCGA